TTAGTCCATTGGCTGAATGGCATTTTGGTTTTTGAGATCAACTCATCCTTTGCTCATTGGTTCGAAACCACCAGAGTTATTCCGTGAGTTCACAGATTCATTATATCTTTTTAATAAAATGGGTTAAAGCTGTCTTTTATGAATAATTTTGTTTCATTTGGTTTCCCCAGAATAGAAGAGGAGACGACATATTAACCAGGCTTTCTGAAGCAAGAACATCTGTATTTTCCAGCCTTTTTTGGCTGAGTGGTGAGAAGTGATAGTCAGCAAGACCCCGCTGCAAAGCCAGCCTGGCACAGGGTGTGCTCCTGCCCTGCTGGGATGGTAAGAAATCCCGGGGACCATCCTGCCCTGATCAGTTCAGAAGACCTCAGGAAAGACCTGGTGGAAAGCAGGTATCTCTGGTCCTCCCCACAAAGGAGTTGTGTCATTTGGATGTCCAGGTTGTCTAGAGTATGGCATATACTCAGTCTCTGCATTTCAGATGTTTCACCTGTAAGTAAAAATATGTCTTGCTTCACTCAGGAAATGCACTATAGTATTTTTTTATTTTGTTTTTTTTTTATTTCATATTTTCCTGAGGACATTTTCTCTCTAGTGACTTGAGCTATGTCCCCACCTCCCTGGTGCCAGCCCCAGTGCTGGTGGAGCCACGGCAGAGCAAGGTAGCAACACCTTCCTCAAGGGTGGCAATGGATGAGAGGAGATGTTTTCATCTCACTAACTGAAAAAAAAAAAAAAAATCTCTTTTCTTACCTATAAATACACTCATCAAATTTCCACCACCCCCCTCCAGTGTATCGTTCAGCCCATGCTGGGTTCCACCTTCTGCCAGTGAAGATGTAGAACAGTTTACGCTTCTTCTTCATCTGTCCAGATGAATCCTATCCCAAAAGGTGAAAATACTTAACTCACGCTGTGTGTCAGCCTTTAAAACAACCTGCATCTGGTTTTCTCACGTGCAACCTGTCTCTGCAAAAGCTCCAGATTATCCAGGGTTTGGCAAAGCCCCCTCTCCCAGCTGCGGAGCAGAAGAAGTGCATTCCCATGGCTGATGGAAGAGTTAAGAAAAAGAAGTGTCTGAGCAGCCGCCAGCCTAAAATGTCTGGCCAAACCCAAGACCAGGCTGAATATTTTTTCCTTTCTTGCAGAAATTATAAAAAAAAAAAATGAAATAGAAATCTGAAAACTTTTTGTTAAAGACCAGCTCAAAGCAAAAATACTTAGATACTTTCAAAATATTTAGGGACATTTTTTATTATTATTACTAATTTATTTTAATGGAATGCTGGTATATTTAGTCTCAGGGGACCCATCACTGCAGCAGCTGGGGGAGGGGGGACAGAAGTACCCCCAGCCCCCTCGCCCTGTGCTCTGGCACAGCCCAGAACAAGCCAAGTTATTAAGACAGAGGCATGGTTTGCAGGTGGTATTAGCTAATTTGGAAAGTGCTTGGGAACTTGGAGTGAGTCATGGCTGAACAAGGTGAGAGAGTGGAGAATTTCAGGGCGTTTATTTGGCTTTTCAACACACGGGGCTCAAAACGAGCGTCGTTATTTTGAATGTTATTCCCTGATGTCATCCTAGCATCTGCTGGAAAGCTGGTGGGCTTTGAAACATGCTGCAAAAAAAAGGTGAATGTATTGAGGTTGTGTGGCACACGGAGGGCTGGTCACAGTGGTGCGGCACGGTGGGGTTAACTGGTCCCCAGCAGGATGCGGGATGCAGGAGCATCCTCCCTCTGGCAGAGCAGGGGCAGTAACTGCTCAGCTGCTTTTTGGTGGGGGGGACTCCTGCACTTGCAGGAGGATAAGATGATGCTCAAGCTCTTCTTTTCTCTTCAGATTTACGGAGATGTGGCTCAGCTGGCTGTGCGTGGCATCACTTCCCATCTGCAGGAAGAGATGGGCCAGAGGGAAGGGCTGTGGGATAAATCCCTCCCGGCTCCTTCTCTCTCAGATCACCTCCTCCTCTCACCCCTGAAATATTTCCGAGGAAGGTTTCTCTTTCCTCTATCGCAGAATGCTGTGCGGTGTCTCTGTGATAGTAAAATCTCTCCTGATTTTCTAGGGGTATTCTGTTAATTAGTAGGTTTCTCCTCCCAACTAGGCTGTAAATGGAACGAGTACATACTAAACCAATTGCCCTACTTATGTAGCTACTCGGAGGAATGCTAAGATGGATTAACATGCATAGCAGAAGGCTTATGACCCTGGGAGACAGAAGAACCTGAAATAACCTTAATATCCTGTCAACTTGAATTACCGAACCTCGGTGAACAAGAAGAGCCTATTTAGTAGTCTGTCTTGGAGGAAAAATTCATATCTTTTATCTGGCTTATTCCTCCCTCTCTTCCAATGGAGGTGTTGTTTTTGTCTCTCCTGACATTATTTTTACGAGGCATCATAAAGCTGCGTCACCCCCACCCCCCGCCA